GAAGACCAATTCCAGTAAAAAGGGTTTGTGACAAAGGGGCAATGGCGAGCATTTCTAGGCAAATGTATCCCAGTAATATGAGATGTATTCACCCTATTTGGGAAAGCAAGGCTGTGTGAAATTGAATGGAAACGTCAGCTCAGCTCATATGATTGTGGGAAAATTCTACTACCAGTCCATTATCAGCTTAGACGAAATAGGGTGAATACATCTCATTACACTGATTTACTGGTAGCCTCGAAACTCTACTCCAATACGAAAATGTATTCCATGCGAGAAGAAATCCTCGAATCCTTTGCTGGTTGACGTATGTTGAGGAAGTTCGGACAAACCCAATGTGAGTTATACGTCGGAGTGAAGAGTTGCTGGGCCTCTAAAATAGTTGAGCTTACTTACATTTCGAGTGAAAGTGTTGCGTAAAGAGATTCGAAGGTCGATTCCACCAGAAGACAACGGCGCATTCCTCTTGCTCAACTGTCGATTGGCTTCACTTGAACATTCATGAGTAGCACATACTCCATCCTTAATGATACGATTTATGCAGAGGTGCAAGGCCCAGCAATGGTATCTTGTTTGGCTCCCATGTTAGCTAATAATGACATGTCAAGAATGGAGGAAGGTTCCATGGAAGAGGGATAATTAACACCAAAACTATTAGTTAGATATATGGATAACTAATTTGCCATATGGCGGCATGGTAAGGATAGTTTAGATAATTTATTGTTTTTAATTAACCGGATTAATTGCAATGTTAAGTTGACAATGGAGATAGAGAAAGACAATAATTAAACTTTTTTCATGTTTTAGTGACCAGAGCAGTTGAAAAGTTAAACAGTGATGCATATAAAAAGTCAACACATGCTGGTTTTATCCTTAATCTATTTTCCAATCATAGTTACAAAACAAAGGTTGGAGTTTTAAAATCCATACCTATTCTGAACATAGCCGATAGAGATAATTGTGAAAATGAACTGGATCGACTTAAAATAATCATCACCTAGACCTAATTAAAAATAACATTTGATTAATAAAGAACAACTTTTTGAATGGTGAATACATAAGGAGGAATAAGAAGACGTTTTCTCACGTTTCGTGCATTCTCTCTAAAAGTAGAGGTGGCAAATAAGAACGGTCTTCAAGGAAACTACGACACTTTCTCAGTCATGCCCACTTTGAGAGAGAAATTTGACTCATTCTATAGATCGGGTTGCTAAAAAATAATGTGTTCATGTGGTCGCTTTTATGTTGGAGGCACTTGCTGTCCCATTCGACAAAGAGTGGCTGAGCCCAAAAGTGTAGTTGGGTTCAGAAATCGGAGTTGCCTAAGCACAGGCCAGCAACAGGACACGAGGTTGAATGGTCTCAAACTTGTCGTTTTGCTGTTTATGGCAGGTTTGCGGCTAAATGTAAAATTAGAGCAGTCATCGGAATGCATTGAATGTAAGGTATACCGGCCAGAAGATAAGTAAAAGTTACATGTGCTTGATTAATAGACTCAAGGATCCAGAAGGAGTTGAGCCGCCTGCAAAAGGAGGCGACGCAACTAGACTTTTCTTGTCTTGCTTCTAAACCGAATCACTTCTCTGTACTTTTAGCACACTCTTTCTCTCGCACATGAAGACCAAAAAACAATAAGGCTCATCACCATAACCAGAGCAGATAGTAGTCATCAAACCGAGATCAGACGTTATTTTTGCTGTCCTAACCACATTGAGACAACACTGTTGGCTTCGTGCATTGGCGAAAATATACAGGTACATTCACATACAGAGACAGACACACTCACAGGCTTCGAGGTTGACATATGACCGTAACTAACCAAATCACTTTATACTTCATTAAAGATATCAGATTAGTGTAAATATACAGTTTTTACGCGTAAACCGGTGAGTATTCTTAACTTGTTAGCTTGAATTTGGTTGTAACGATGATACCTTGCTATGATGATATTCGACATATGACGGACGAAAGCTTAGCACCGTTTCACCGGAATCGAAGGA